ATTGGGCCTACAAATAAGTGCATGCATTATTTAAAATTCAAGACAATAATTAGAAGCATGTGTACATGCATGCCTTTGTGCATGCGAGAGACAGAGAGAGAAGCACACTGCACATGCATGATAAGATAAGCTTCAACGGAAACACAATGAATCATCCATCTTACACTTAGATCTTTGATGATTGGATGGTCTGGATTGATCTCTAATATTCTCCTTCCCCTCATAAACTCAAGACTTGCTGTGTCTCCAAGAGTTTGTGCCTTCATGAGCCTTCAAAAGAATTACATTAAAAACAAAAAAGTTTCTCAGAAACCATAAAAAATAACAGAACATATCTTTTCATGGCCAAATACCAAACATTTAGCAATGATAAGTCACAACTAGCTTACCTTTCCATGTTAGCAGACCACCCAAACTTCCCTGACACAAGAACACAAGGAGATGAGCTCAGGCGTTTCGATACCTGAACTTTAGCCACCTTATCTCCCAGTTGTTGTTTTATCCAGTCACAAAGAAGATTGAATTCTTGCTTTGTTTCCCTTTCTTTTACCTCATCCTCATCACCTGAAACACAATTTGAGTAACAAAGCTTTAAGATATTATTTCGATATTCTTTTTTGACAGATATTTTCTTTTTCTTTTGGTATATTTTTTTCAGACATATCATTTTCACTACATATGGAAACAATTACACTAATATAGACGTGATACATATAAGTACGAGCATTGCATACTTTCATTAATTATTTTCCATTGTTTATTTATTCTTTGAGCAAGTAAAGATGGAAGTCTATTAAGAACCTTTTAGTGGTGCCAGTTGATTTGAAAGAAACAAGCAACTGTGAACATTTAGGAACTCAGTGCAACCCCATATAAACATTACCATATTCTTATAGAAGGAAAAGTATAACCACTACCAGAGTAATTACTTACCCAACTCCAGGTCTTCTTTGCTGATATCCACAAATTTCTTTTCCTTGTAGGTCTGTAGGTTCTGGATAGCAACTTCATCAATGGGCTCCACCAGATACAGCACCTGAAACACAACTTATTTAGTTGCTCATCTTGGAGTTTGTCCAATTAAATTAAAGCCATAAATACATAGAGACATGGTTGCATTTTTTTACCCTTTCTGGTGGGTAGTTCAAGAGCATACCTCAATGTCTTTCTGAACCAGCTTTTCCAGGAATGGTGCAGTTTTCGCACTCTTCAAACTATCAGTTGCCAAGTAATAGATTGCATTCTGGTTTTCAACCATGTTTTCAACATAATCATCAAGGCTGATAAGGTCTTCCTCACTTTTGGAAGAGTAAAACCGCAGCAAAGGTGTAATACGCTTATGGTTCCCACTGTCCTCAATGCAACCCAATTTAAGAAGTTTTCCAAAATTTTCCCAGAACTTCTTATAGTCCTGCAGTGCAAAAGGCATCACTCAGCATTAAATAAATATTAATTTGCACAAGAAACTTAAATCTGCACCTCTTGTTTCATTGTGGCTGTTTTGATACAACTGTTCAGAAAGGGGTTATTCACAGACGAGAAGATTCTACAAATCCAAGGTATATGCATAAATGTAAAAACATCTTCAATAATCAAATCAACTGGTACATACTTTATCCCCAATATTTTTTGATGTTGCCCATTTTCTTTTTTCATGTCCTCATATTTTAATATCAGTTATCCTTTTTTTCCTATTCATAGTAATTTATTTTTCTCTTGTTTTTAACCTTCAAACTTCAATTCTCCTTTTTCTCTTCAAAATAATGCCAAGTTGCAGAAAATATTTTAGTTCATGGCATTTCATACCTCTTTATTTTCACCTTCAGCAATATCCTGGATCATGTCAAATGTTTTCCGCACGAGCCGTTTATGCATAATCCTCACCTAATAAATGTCAGCAAAGAAATGAAAACAAAGACTATTAGAAACAAAAAAAGTGAAATATACCAAGTTTTGAACTGCAGAGAAGAAAAGAAAATTGTGATGCATGACAAGGCTGCTTCAATCTCAATACACAGAGAAATCAAAACTTACAATTCGGCTTTCCTGAAGGATTTCACGAGAAACATTAAGAGGAAGATCATTTGAATCTACCACACCCTTAACAAAACTTAAATAGCGGGGGAACTGCACAAATATATCAGGCACAATTAATGGCAAATATATGAAAGATTAATAGTAACCGCACATCATAAACCTAGAGTCTCAATCAGATAGAGATCTGTTAATTAGACAAATACAACGCTAGACACGCACTAGTAGCCAAACATAATATGAATTTATGAACTAGTTGCAGGCACATGAATTTTGTAAACGGGCAAAGTGTGTCCGAATAGATTATTTGAATAAGTAATTATGGGAAAGAAAACAGACAAAACACAGTGATCAAAATTCAGAAACGGATGCCACGCATCTAAAAGCACAAAAAAGAATATGATTCAGCAAGTGAATCAAAATTATCTTTTGAATTTGCACATATTTCATATTTTGAAAGAATAAGAAAGTGAAGCACAATGAATTACTTGTTTAAGGTCAAAGATTTAGGTCCCTTGGCTATTTCCAGAAAACTTAAGAACAGCAAATTCCACTGCATACTGATTGTGAAAAAAAAAAGAACAAAAAAAATTAAAGCCAAAAGAGACCAACAGCACGTACAATAATATTTGAAGATAATAGGTACTTTTAAGAATATTTCGTAGCACAAGCATACTTTGGTCACTTCTAGAAAAACAATGGAGAGATGAGCATGATAGATATCACATTCAACATCTCATGAAGATCTCTAAAATTTGTTTTCTTGCCCAAATTCAGAAGACCAAGAAACAAGGGAGAGTGCAACATATAGCTCTATATGTCGGTGATAACTCACCAATTCGCCATCAAAATCATCCGAAATGAAGACGCGCTTCACATAGAGACGTATATTTTTTGTCTTAGGGTTCACTATCTCCTCATTGTTAAGAGGAGCCATGCCAGGAATGTAAAGAACACTTCTAAATTCCACTTCACCCTGTAAAGCACAAACAATTTCAGAGATAAAATTAGATTTCTCTTTTTGCATTAGATGGCACTTGAAAGTGATAGCAACAACTAGTGAACTTATACAAAGGAATTTAGGAAGCAATACAAGTTACCTCTGTTGTAAAATGAGTGTATGCAAGTGGGTCCAGGAATTCGTTGAATGCCTTCTTATAGAACTCGAAGTACTCATCTTTCTCAACTTCCTTGGGGTTGCGTAACTAGACAAGATGGCAGGAAAAAATAGCATATTGATTAGTATATGCACACCTTGCATGAAAACTTTATATTTTTCATAAAACTGAACAAGGTTGAAGCTTAAATAGGATATAAGCTTTTTAGACAAAAACCACACTGTAAAAGTGTGATAGAAAATGTTTGATTGCAAGAAAGAGCTTCAGCTTACCCAGATGGGTTTTGTTTCATTTGCCAATTCCCAATCCCAATATTTCTCTGTCACAGTCTTCTTCTTCTTCTTTGTCTCACCCTGAACAAGAGAAAGGGTTCTTTTAATACGAGTATCTTTTGCTGCTTATCCAACACATTTGACTCCATAATAGTAAAATAAAAAATGGGAAATAGAGACCGTCATACATCACCAAGCGTGAATTACCTCTGGTTTAGCTTCTTCCCCCTCTTTTGGAGCTTCTTCCCCCTCTTTTGGAGCTTCTTCCTCTTCAACCTGTTCAAAAAGTCAGTTCTAAATAAGGACCACAAAAAGGGATAATGGCATATGATTCTCCTTTCAATTAGAAGGCAGCTGTTTCAACATTTTTGAGAAGGGGCTCTGCATATAAGAAAGTAAGAAGAGAGCCCAGTATAGACTAACCTCTACTGTCCTTGATTTCTCTTGCCAAGTGTATATTGGGAATGAGACGAACTGAGAGTAATTCTTAACCAAGGATTGGATTCTTGTTGGTTCAGCAAATTCATATTTGTCATCAGGCTGCATTTAGATAAAAAATGGTTCAGTCACTTGGGTTGCTATTTCCTATTTCTTTCTGCCTCAAGAAATTCACAAGAACCATTTCAACATAACTTTCACAATCAAAGGAATAAAAGGGGCAAGAAAGATCACATATGACATACCCTAAGATAAAGGGTGATTTGTGTTCCCCGTCGTAGCAGGTTTTCAGGGTCTATCTCTTCTCTAATTACATAGGAGCTACTGTCTGCTACAGCTTCCCAAACATATTGCTTATCAGACTTGGGACTCTTGGTTGACACAACCACCTAGATCACCAGATAATCAGATTCGAGAAACGTGACACAATCATGAGCATATGTAAAATTACATTTAATGGACCAAAACACGTTTCAGATGTTTCACAACAAATTTCAGCCAAAGTATATGCTAATAAAATACAAGCACAACCACAAGAAAGAGAACAGCTTGATCTTGACTGAGTTCACATTTGGTAGTCAAAATTGTTTGCAATTTGGAGGAAAATAAGAATAGTTTCAGTAAGTCTGGTCACCATCTAGTAAGAATATCCAGCAATTTCACCAAGTTTAAAGTGTAACAGCCCCGATTCATTTGAACCCACTTACCCACATACATAAATATTGCAAATTTTAAATGCAGCAAGCAAGAATACATTGAAAAACCAGCTTCAGAATAAAACATGATATTTTTCTAAGACTACATACTTTGTCTGCAACAAGGAAAGCAGAATAGAACCCAACACCGAACTGGCCGATCAAAGCATTGTCAGGACCCACATCTTTATTTTCCTACATAGAAAACAAAACAACAATTAAGTAACAAATCCACGGAAAACAACTAATATTAGGTATGAAGGATCAAAATATCCATTTTAAAAACTCAATTAGTCAACAGCAGCAAATTTTGCATTTCCTAATACAAATTTCATAATTCTTCTCATTGGTTAGAAGCTGAACAAGCTTATTATCCATACAAGCTGCAAAAGTGTAAAAGAATGGATAAGACACGGATGAAATATAACACCTTCAACGCCTTCAAGAATTTTGAGGTACCACTCTGAGCTATCGTTCCAAGACAGTCAACCAGCTCTTCTTTTGTCATTCCAATACCAGTGTCACTGCACATAAATGATGAAACCCATATGACATACATACACACAGAGTGCAGAGAGAGAGAGAGAGAGAGTAAATCTGGTGCATCAGAACAGCTATAAGAAAGTCAAAGAGACGTAGCATACGTGATGGTGATAGTTCCATTTTCAGGGTCAGGCTTGATGCGTATTTCTAATTCTCCAGCATCTCCAAGAAGTGAAGGATCAGTTACGCTTAGGAATCTCAATTTGTCCAATGCATCACTCCCATTGCTGAAACAGGCAGATTCGATAAGTAACACAACAACAAAGATAACCATTAGAAATATATGATTCCACTGTATTATCAAACTACAAAACCAAAATATAGAACTCATCAGAATCCAAAATCGTGTTTTTTATGACAAAGACTAACTGAAATATTACCAAACATAGAATCCAGAAAAACAGAAACATACCTCACAAGCTCTCGGAGAAAGACCTCCTTATGGCTGTAAAGACTGTGGACAATCAAGTCCAGGAGACGACTGACCTGAAGGTGATTAAAAAAATGAGGAAATACGAAACATGTACAAACAAATACAAATGAAAGTTTCTACTATTGGGAGAAAAACAAATTTCCTTATGCAAGGAAGAAAAAGATTCTCTCACACTTTTTCAGAGAAGAAAAAAAGGAAAGAAATATCAAAATCTAGAAACATTCACATGCTATTATAAGCATTTTAAGCAAAAGCTATCTTTCAAGGCTCAAGGGTAGGAAGAAATAGCTGAGTTCTCAGTATTTTTTTTTTTTTTTTTTTTTAATGTTAACTTTGAATGTTTTTGGAGCGGTAATATTAAACAATGGCTATCATTTGAATTCTTTATTCTGAATATTCTATGAATGTTCAGAGATGCTAAAGCTAGAAATAGGGCATTCAACAAATAACCAATAGATAGGCAAGATTTTTGTGGCTTCAAAGTTTTGGGATTGGAGAATAGAATGGCCACTTTGAGAATGAACTAAACCCAAAGGAAGCCATGGTTGTGTAAGTCATCATTGGGCGAGCCAAAGTTAAAGGTTAGAGAGAAGCCGCAAGGAAGGTAACAACTTCGTAACTCCTTAACAAAAGAGAGGGTAATTTAAGGAGGAGGTCACAATTGGGAACACCAACCCTGTCCCCAAAGAGTTGCAGTTATTGTAAGCTAATGAAAAGAGAACAAAAAAGGATAATAATTGATTGCGAAAAAGTCACAAAGGATGCTTCCTAAGAATTCCAAACCATACATAAAAACAGCCTGAGGTGTTCCACGGTGTGAAACATGAGCAACAGTAATAATTTCAATTACAAAGTCAAAGTCAAATGACACACCGAAAATAAGAGAACATATATTCCAATTTACGGGGCCATATGAAACCAAATAACAATAAAAATAAAAATAAACATAAAATGACAAAACCTTGGAAGTTAAAACTATAATTCCAACAACGGGAGAGAAAGAGAGAGAGAGATGTCCCATAACATAATAATCCAGAATTATTCATTCTACACTATGGCAAAAATTACCCATTTCTCAATTTTTGAGAAGCATCTCTCTGTAGCCATCATTCTGCCCCATGGAGAGGAGACAGAAAAAAAATTTACCAGCATATCTCAATAACAATTTTTTTACAAGCACATGTCAATAACCATTTTTTTACAAGCACATGGCAATAACCATTGTTCTCTCCCGGGGTAGATAGGTAAATAAACAGATGGAGAGAGACAGAGAGAGAGAGAGAGAGAAAGAAAGATTCCAAGTAACAAAACAATTCAAATCACACATCTCAACAGAGAAAGTGTGTGTTTGTCCCAATAACATAACAATGGAAAATCATTCATTTCCGCAGTATTTAATAACACTTCCAATTTCTGAACTTTCCTTAGAACTCAATACGAATCATTGCAACCCGGGAAGAGAGAGAGGGGGGGCGGGGGAGATAACACAACAATCACCATTTATCTCCGCACTATCGCCACGAAGACTTCCTAGTTCTTTAATTTAGCAAACCATCTCATTGACAATCGTACAAAACCACATAGAGAGAGAGGGTGAGAGAGAGAGATTCCCAATAAGACAACATTCCAAAACCATTAATTTCTACAGTATTGCAACTAAAAGGGGGAAACATCCCATTTTGGAAAATTACTTAGCCACTTCAATAACATTCATACAACACAAGAGAGAGAATGTGTGTGTTACCTCAGCCTGGTATTCAAACTTTTCGCCTGAAGTTTCCTCCCTTTCCTTCTCTGCAACTGCTGCTTCACACCTCACACCGCCCCTTCTCTCCACCCTCTTCACCTTCCACCTCAACCCACTTGCAGGGACCCCAGCTCTGAGCTTCGGAAAACTTTGGCAGCCCAACCAAGCACCCAATTTCAGCTCTTTCTCTCTCCTTGACGACCCAGAAGAAGAAAGCCCACAGAAGCGATTAGAAGAGAGAAAAGAAGATGGTGGGAGCCGAGTCTGGGTGGTTGTTCCAACAATCCTACTAAGAACAGGTGCCATTTCCTAGAGAGAGAGCAAAAATGGAGGGGCGAGGAGAGAGACAACCCACAGGAGAAAAGTTCGGAGAGAAGCAAAACAAATGAGAGGGGAGAACGAAAAGAGCGTGCCGGCGAAGAGAGAGAAAGTGATAAGCGGAGAGAGAAAGAGAGAGAGAGAAATAGAGTCAGGGCGAGGAGCGAGAAAAGAAAAGAAAAGTAATGACTGAGAGGGGAGAGAGAAAACCATTTAAGGGTTTAAGGGAGGGTTTACGGAGGGTTCTGGAAGACGGGTATTTTGGATTGTTTCAGTAAGGTATTGTAAGGCCTAGATGCTGCCATGTCAGCAAGCCTAATATCCTCATTATTTTTGTGCAGTGAGAAATTGAAGAAAATACGGTGCATGATTATTTTTCTCTTGTGTCCATTTCAAATATCTCAAGGGCATTCGCCAACCTGAGCGCAGAAGTAGGGGTGGCAATGGATGCGACGAGATCCGTGACCCGGCCTCGGTCTGGCTATGGGTCCAATATTTGGCCCCTATGTGTACGGTCCGGGTCAAAAACTTGGAATCAAAATTATTCGGGTCCGGGTCAGGCCAAATCCAGGACCTATACCCATAAACCATTTCAGATCAAATACTTTATTTTAAGCTTTATTTGTTGGGTGTATTAATAATAATATATAATAAGAACTTGTGGTCATTTTTAGCTATTACCAACAAATAAGACGGCTTAAAATCTAATTGTAGATGACGTCTTTGCTAATAATATGGGTATATGATGGTAAAGAGGTCTCTCAAATATAAGTATGGTTTTAATTTTTAGACTTGACGTTGCAAATCAAGGACCAAAACCTGAACCCAAACACTTTTCGGATCCGGGTCTGGGTCCGGGTCCCGGTCCGGGCCCATTTGACTCGACCCATTACCATTTCTACTCAAGAGAAAGGCAGGAATAGGCCGTTGGCCCAGCCCTACAAATTAGGGCATGGGGCACAAAGCATGGCCCAAGGGCTGGGCCTCAGCTAAGACATGGGCAGGGCAGCCCTATTCAGCCTGGCCCTTGCCTTTTAAGCATTTTTGCTTCTTTTTTCTTAGCTCAGCCGTGATAGGGCCAATGCCGAGGCATCTTTCGCTTGGTCTAGAGCAAGCGGGTCTAGGCGGGTCTTTGGGGGCACAGGATCAAAGCCCTACCTATTGCCAGCCCTACCTGAGCTATATGGTCAAGACTGACAACGGCCCTTCCTGAGCCTGGTCATAGCCTAGGCATGGGGCACACTACACCCAGCCCTAGCCCAACTCTTAGAGCCGGCTCGAGCATATCCAACTCGTACAGGGCAAGGGATCAGGTCTAGATTGCCCTATCCTTGTGTAGTGCTGACGGGACTTTGAAAACGGGGCATTGTGAGGCAATTTAAGCCCCAGCCCTCCCTAGCTAGGTTCTCAATGACCTAGCCCAGCGGACCCCCAATTTTGGCATTTAAAACAAAATTGATTTTGAGACTAGAAATCTGCACGTAGGGTGGTTTGTTTGTCCTGATTGAGCTAAAAAACTATTTTTAAAAAACTCATTCCATTAAGCCGTATCAAACCACAGAACGATAGCCTAGAGTCGATTTTGGGGGGATCAAAGATCCATATTAATCCTTTAAAAATAAAAAACAAATGATCTCAGATATGATAAAGATGATCATGAAATTTTTAGATTTTTTTTAAAAAAATAAATTTCTTAAAATGCACCTAAATTATCAACTACTAGATTTTACCTTTTTTTAACCATTCTAACTCATGATCATGTATGTTTTAGTGACTTTTAAGAATTAAATCAAAAGAAATAAGTAAAATGTTAAATAGTTCAACTCTTAAGTGCGGATTGATAAATTTCCCTAAAAAGGCCTCTCTCCGTGTTTTTAAGGTACCAAACATGAATAAAATTTGGTGAGAACATACATTTTCACAGTATCCATTAAAGACCCGGTTTCTATGCGGCCAAGCTTGCAAAAATCTTAATAAATATATTTTTGAGATTTATTTTAAGACTTAATTTTTGAGGACATGTAATCTTTGACATGCAGATTATGAATATTAATAAATAAATAAAGTTAAAAACTAAAAATAATAATTCCTGTAAGAAAACATTTGGACCATTAGTTTCTATTGTTTTTAGATGGAACACCTACTTGCATCCATATTTAAGATGGATGCTTTACGCTTTCTGGACCGCATATGTAGAGATACGGTCCAGCCCGCATGAAACACATTTCCATCTATTAAAATGTAAATACTTAAAGGAAAAAGTTTATATAGAGCCGAGGCTCTAAACAGTCAAATTAGAGCCCACCTAGAAAAGTTGACTAGAAGAGGTTGTTTTGATACTCAAATATCCTCAAATTGATCACCTCGACATCAAGATGCATGGACATGAGAAAAAACTAGGTTTCAAGTTTTGGAAATAACATATCTTGTAACGCATTTTTGGACCGTCAATTTTCAAGTTTTCATAATCTGCTCGATCTACATTATTTTTTAATTTTAATTTTTATAATTAAAGGTGAAAATATATTTTAAGAATATCATAACGATTTTCAGTATCGAGACCACATTTCTTAACACTATTTGAAAGTGTGCTTACTTTGAATGTTTAGAGCCTCGGCCCCATACATAATAGATCTCAATTTTTTGCTGTAATCTTGATTGATGTTTAAATAATAAGCAATCTAAACAGGAATCACCTCGTCATTGGTCTAGTATAACCTCCATTTTTTTTGGGTGAGCGTAAAACCTCCAATTTTGATCATTTTTAAATGCTCTAAAAGATGTTTACTACAATTTTTTAGATCAAAAGCCCAACTTCAACGAAATCAAAAGTTCAAAAAACTTTATTACTTTTTATTTTGAGATTGGTCTCTCAGTTTTAAGGCTTCAATCCATATTTTGAGATTGGGTCTCTCAGTTTTAAGGTTTCAATCCACCAGAGTGTCAAGAGCTCTCAACCTTACGCATGAACTATTCATACACCAATAAAATATATATAAATTCTTCATAAATGCCGGTCATCTAAGAGGGACAGAGTTCTGCTGGATCTGAGAATGAACGCTCCCCTTTGCATTTGCTGTTCATAGTAATAAAGTTGTGGATTTCCTTTGTATGCCTCTAGTCTGCATCTGTTTTATCCTAGGCATTAGTGAGTCACAAGAGCACACGCATGCACACAATTCGAACCGTGCATGCAGGCCATTGATTGCAAAATTGGGTAGCCCAATGTGTTATTGGCCCCGTTTAGAAGACCAGAAAAAAGTTTAGCATATAATACATGAGGTCCCAATTTGAGAACAAGTCAGAGGAAAATTCTTGTTCCCCGAACCATGCAATGCATAGAATGGAGGAAGGGGAGGAAAAGCCTGCCATGGATGTCCATTCCTCTCTTTGGATCAGTCAGTGGTTAGTGAGTCGTTGGCTAAAACCAAGTGTGCGGTGGTGGGCTCATTCTCTCCACCATTTAATGATGTTTTTGGCCTTAGTGATTGGGCTAGGAGAAGTTGGAGTCTTTCTTATAATCCGGTGGTTAGAATTCTAGGGGAGAATAAAATTGTCTTTTCGTTGCGCCCTGTGGAAGAGGTTGGTACAGCTTTGAGGAACATATTTCCCAAGGTTAGAGGTAAGTTACTGTTTCTTGATCGGTGGAATGCTTCTGAACATGGTTTCATAGTTCAGAAAGATATTAGGTGGGTCAAATTCGGGGGCATCCCTCTACATGCCTGGAACCTTAAGACCATTAAATTAATTGAGAATCCGTATGGGGCTACTGTGACATGGGCTGGGATTCTTTTTGGGAAAATTAAAGGGGTGGATATTCCGGAGGTAATCCGATTGCAAGTGTACAAAGAATCCTACATGATTGCTGTCACTTGTGAAGAAGGGGCGAAAGCAGTGAAGAAGATTGACTCTAAGTCAATGCTTCATGGTTGATAACCAAGGATGGCAGCGGGTATCCCATCTTCCACCAAAGCTTCCGGATGCTAACTCTGGTAAGACGACTGCCGGTTTTCCTTGCCGGAAAAAAATCAGAATGTTTCGAAAAATAACGGAAAATATGGGCACGATGGGATTTCCGTTTTTCTCTGATTTTACTAATACTTTTGGGGAAACCGTATCTCCGGAGATTAAAGGTAACTTTGAAACTGGCTCCAAATATGCAGGAGGCTAGGCACAAATTTTGAGGGATCATATTGTGGATACAAGTCGAGCGGGACCACCAAATATCACTCTTTTGGGAAAGGATTGCATGAGAGAGAGTATTTTGGGCAAAGAAGTTGATGGCAGGGTGTTGGAAAGTGGTACCTACGTGGTGGAAATGTGGTACTGATGGACCAAATCGAGGCAGGAAGACGGTGAGGAGGGGGAAATTTTGGAGCAGGAAGATGGTGCTGGTATGGAAACTCAGTCTGATGGCTTTCGTGGACTTAACGTTCATGCAGGTTTTGAAGACCGTAAGATGAGGGTGGGCAAAATGATGGGTGCTGATTTTGAAGTATCCTCAGGAGTTGTCTATGAAGATATATTAGCCCGCCGAAAGAGAGCCAATAAGCTGAAGGAAAATGAGGCTGAGATCGGGGAAAGAAGGCATTGAAACTCCTAACACAAAAACGGCCAAAGGAAAGGAGTTGGGTATTGTGAAAGGCTCTAGATCATCAGCTCGCCTTGCAGCCGGATTCACCCTGACTGATGAGTTCTCATCTCTTCATTTGCATAATACAGAGCCTGTGCATATGGAGCTTAGCAGTGAGATGACCTCTTCTTTTTCAGATGCTGCGGACGATGCTGCCCTGTATGAGGCGCTGATGCTGGAGGAATCTTATTTGGGCTGTGTGTCGAGGGGCCACGTTACTCTTGTAATCCACCCTTTTAATGCTTATTATGTCGTAGAATGTAAAGGGTCTTGGTGACCTAGAAGAAAGAGGGACGTCTTGTTCCTAGTTTTGAAGTATAAACATTTGGTTATAATGCTGCATGAGATCAAACTTCCTAATCCTAAAGTGTCTCAGGCTAAGGAAATTTGGGGCTTTGGAGCCGTTGTTTTTTGGGGTATAGATATTGTGAGTGCATCTCGGGGTTGGGTATCGACTCTAGGTTGCTTAACCAGGAGCCTGGGGTGGTTATTAAATTGGATCTGAAAAAGGTATATGACAACGTGGAATGGGGAGTGTTGATGGAAATTATGAGATGAATGGGTTTTGGGGTTAGGTGGCGCAGTTAGATTTTTGGGTGTTTATCCTCAGCCCACTTCTCAATCATGTACAAGGGTAGCCCTACTGGAATTTTCTAAAGTTTTATACGGTCTTCGGTAAGGGGACTCTTTATCCCCCTTTTTGTTCACCTTGTATGCTGAATGCTTCAGCCTTCTGATTAAAAATGTGGAAGCTAGTGGTAATTTTCAGGGCTTCCAAATTGATAATCAGGGACTGAGCATCTCTCATCTTTAGTATGCTGATGACACTCTCTTTTTTTATGGGGCATATTTAACTCAAGTTCGGAATATTGCTCTTTTCGTAAATCGTTGTGAAATGGCTATGAGGTTAAAGGTTAACTTTACCAAACCTTCCATGATTGGGATTAACTATGAAAAGCATGTAGTCGAGAATTGGCAACTATGATGGGATGTAAAGAGACTTTCCCAATTACTTCTTTGATAGACGACTATCTACCTCGGTCTGGGATAAGGTACTTCAAAGAGTCCAATACATGTTGGATTTTTTAAAATATAAGTATCTATCATCAAGGGGCAGAGTTACTTTACTTCAGTCGTGTCTGTACAACCTCCCAATCTATCAATTGTCATTTCTTGAAATCCCATCCTCAGTGGCAAAAAAATTGGAAAACTTGATGCGCGATTTCCTATGGGCGTCAAGTGGAGAAGCACGAAAGTTTCATCAGTTGAGGTGGGATAGGGTTTGCTCTCCTAAAAAAAGAGAAAGTTTAGGCATCAGGAAAATAAACCGAGCTCTTTTGTGCAAATGGTGGTGGTGTACTTTCTCTTCCAAAGACCTCCTATGGTACAAAGTATTGGTCACTAAATAATATGGTTGTGATAGGTAGGGAGTGTAGGTTGGGAGTGGTAGAGGCGACAATGTGTCTAGTGGGTGGAAAGCGATAGCATCTGCTTATTGGTGATAGCTGCATACTTAAGATGGATTATTGGTAATAGAGAGTCAATTTCTTTCTTGCACCATAAATGGATTAGGGAATATCCATTGAAGTTAATGTTTCCAGAAGTGTTCAATGATGTAGTGAATCCTAATGCGAAAGTGGCTGAAGTTTTTTAGAAAAGAAGAGATGAGGTAATGTGGAATATAAGCCTGGCCTATAACAGGGTTCCTAATATGACGACATAACAGTTTGGTTTATTGTTGGAGCTTTTGGAGGGACTGTATATTCCACGTGAGGCATCGGATGAAGTTATTTGGGAAATAGAAGGAGATGGCCTTTTCTCAGTGAAGTCGTACTATATATTATTGTTTCATGATAGATGGTGGTGGTCTTTACTGTAAGTTATCCAAATCTTGAAGTGGCTCATACCTCACAAAGTCCAATTTTTGTATGGCTAGCAGTTCAAGACAATATTCTTACGGTAGACAATTTAATCAAGAGAGGAAAAGTTTTACTGAATATTTGCTTGATGTGTAAGAATGATGTTGAGACAGGAAGTCATTTACTGTTGTATTGCTCTTTTGCATCTAGAATCTGATGATGGTTCTTTGGACTTATGGGGGTTTATGTGTCCCCACCTGAAAATGTATTGGGAATAGTCACCCAACTTTCTTTTCCACATCTTCCACAAGTTGAAAGTGTTGATTAGAAGATGACGAGAAGAGTAGTATTGTGGGAAATATGGAAAGAAAGAAACTGAAGAACTTTTGATGGTGTATGTTTGCCTCTTGAAGGAGTCTTGGATAAAATTAGACACTCCTGATGTTGTTTGGTTGTTACATCTAAAGAGGGGTAGGGGCTTTCTGAAATGGATGTGATGAATAATCTTCAGAGGCAATGGGGGTGGTCAAAAGTCGACCTCTAAAAGCTTGGAATCCACCTTCACTGGGTTCCCTAAAATGTAACTTTGATGGGTGCTCCCTTAGGAACCCAGGCATGTCTAGAATAGGGGATGTTCTGTGTGATTGACATGGAAATGTAATTTTTTCATTTGCAAGCCCAATTGGGGTAGCCACTACGAACTAGGCAGATCATGGCTCTCCTTCAGGGGCTAAGAATTTTTAAAAGTCGCAACTTAGGTGGGTGGCGCGTGATTGAAGGAGATTCTTTAAATGTCATTCAATGGTGTAGAAAGGAGCAGAGAGTACCTTGGAAACTCAATTCGATTTGCCTGTAACTGCTAGACTTAGTTGACAACTTGACCGTCTCTTTTACCGATATCTATAGGGAAGCCAATATGGTGGTTGACTCTCTGGCCAAGTTAGGGACTCCCTTGACTTCTCTTTCTATTTCGGGTGATGTACTCCCACTTGTGTGATTTATTTTGATTAATACAATTATAACATTCATCAAAAAATAAAAAAAATCTTCATAACACCCCATTTTGCACACTCTTCATTTTTTATAGGAAATTTGTGGCATTTGTATGACAGCAAATTTTATACATGTACCCTCCATCATTCCCAATTATCAACCTCAAAAAGAAATAAGTTGAATTTGCACTCTAAAAAAAGACAAAACAAATCCCTCCAACAATAAATCCAAATTGTCCATATTGTTGACATTGAGATCTAAGCCTTTGAGAACTCAAAATGAATTTTTTCCTTGTTAAAATTACTCATCTAATGACGATAAGCAATTTAAAAAGTTAGAGATTAAAAACATCTCTCTAAGCCCTAGATTGAGTTGTTCCATCAAATGGGATAGGAAAAACACTTTTTAGGGTTTTAAAATTTTGCTTTTTCACGTTGTTCATCAAAATGAAGGGAGTATACGCATAAAAACAAACAAATGCTCCTTACATGGCTTTTGAAGATACATTTGGTTATACTACTACAGAGATGTCAAGCTGTGCCAACACTTTTGGCTTAACATCCTAAGTACCTTGGAGTTGGTGTTAAGTACCTTGGAGTTGGACAGGTAACCCATGCAAAAATACAGGTTTCTATACAAATTTTATCATTTGGGTTTGTGATAGTTTCCTTGCACTCCTTCATAATTCAAGGTCAAGAAAGGATACTCCATCATCCGATCGATGTTTGTCGAACTTTGACGGTCCTCGAGCAGAGGACAGTCACATCCCAACCATCTCTAGTTGAAATTGATGGTTCGGGGTAGGAGACCCAAATGATAGAATACAATACCCTTGCTTGGCCCAAAAACAAAAAATAAGACAATGGAATACTTTCCCTTTACCGCCGACAACTTGAATCATAAATGGGATCAGTGTTAAAAAATGTGGATTCAGAGTGTTAAAACATGCGAATTCAGCCGCCTAGGCGCCCTCCCAGAGACAAGGTGCCCTCACTAAAACTAAAACCCCTCCCTCTTAAAAAAGAGGGGAGTAGCTTTATAGAGTTTTTTGGGCAATTTTAGAGCCCCAAACTCCTCGTGAAATAGACAAAAATGTAATAATATATTCACATAACAGATTTACAGATACAAGTCTCAAAGAGAATGGAAGAGAATGTTGCCATGTTTCTTCAATCTCTAGCTTGGTATGGACAAAGAAGCACGCTAAACATAATTTAAATACTTAAAACACGAAGAAGTACAAGGATTGCAGCAAACAATAATTTATTAACAAACCAGAAATGAAAACTACAATGCCACAACCATACATAATTGATTAAATAATGCAATTTTTCTTTTTCTTTTTCTTCTTCTTCTTTTCCCCTTGCTTTTCTTTTCTTCGTGGGAGAAAGAGCCTATGATCTTAATAATGTTATGAACAAACACTCAAATGCGACTAATCAATACGTGGTACCAGGAAATGCAAATCCATTCCAAACTTACAAAGCACCAATCTTCATTCCTCAGACCCCAGCTGCCTGAGGCTTGAAACAGTCGGTATTGCACAAGCCCACCGCTCTCATCATTTCCCCAAAGCTGCCACCACAGATGCCAACAGTCAACAAACCAAGCATTTTCACCCCAATTAATAAACAGAAAGTTTTTTTTTTTTTCAGAACAGTGTGAAGGGTAAGTATATCATAATCCGTTAGACAGTAGAAAAAGATAGTCCACCCCATTGTCCATTGGGGTCCAATGAAATGATCAAGGGTAACAAAAAGTAAGATCCATGTACAGTAAGATCCATGACTAAAGTCATATCTCTCATTCAATCTCCATTACCATCCGTCATTTCATCAGGTGTGGATGACCTAATGGGTCATAGTTGTCCAAGTCAAATTTGACTACAACATATACAACTAACAAAAATTTGATAACAAAACATTTCATAAGAACAAGATATAGAGGACTCTTAGCCTGTCCAAGAGTTCTAACTGTCCAACCGATCAATGCTGGTCCTCCCCTTCTCAGGTTGATCCATGCTCTTCCTTGGCTTGTCCCCTTGATCCAAGCTGCTCCTTGGCTTCTCGTTTCGGTCCACACTCTTTCTCGATTTCTCTCTTCGATCTGTGCTGGCCCTTGACTTCTCAGGCCGATCTATACTTGGCCTGGACTTGTCTCTTCGATCGCTGCTCTTTCTAGAAGGCTCTGTTTCATTGGTGTTCTGTTGTGGACCATTCTTAAGGCCAGGAGATTTCTCAACAGCTGATATGAACTTCTTAAGATGCCTTATGTACTCTGGATAGAGCTCCAAGTCACAGTGGTTGCCTCCTTTTATCCACAGTGGCTCATACTTCTCTTTACAAAGTTCCCATAGCTGCTTACCATGAGAGCAATCCACTACTTCATCCGCAGTTCCCTAGACAGCACGTGTCACTTAAGCTTCTACTTTTTCAATGATTGAGCATAAGATTTTTTGTTTTCAATGTTTTGATTGCTACAGGAAGGAAAATTGCATGCTAAATAAGCCCACCCATTAGAGGAAGACATGATACACATGAGGCATGCAATCATTAGCTGAGTATTGAGTCAGGGTTAAGCCCCATTATGTAATTAAAAGCAGCCACATAATGTGTTTTAAGTAACTGTAAAAAGGGCAGACAGTTTATAATGGATTGCGATTTGTAGGAGAAACCTAATCAGTACAAATTATTCGTGGCTGAAGGACCTTGCTGAAGCCATTTGTAAAAACCCTTTTTCACACTATATTAGTGTGACCTTTACAATATGTTTGTAAAAGGGCAGACAGTTTATAATGGATTGCGATTTGTAGGAGAAACCTAATCAGTACAAATTATTTGTCGCTGAAAGACCTTGCTGAAGCCATTTGTAAAATCCTTTTTTGACCTTTACAATATGTTTGTCATTATAATTCATGTCAGTTGATGTTGATGATCCACCTTCTCATATGGGTAAAACTTGTCAGCTTACATAACTGGAAGTTCTCCCTATTATAGGTAGAAAATGGTAGCCTATCCTAGCAGAAACCACAAATATATTATCAAAAAAATTGTAGCCATAACCGACTGGTGTGGAGCTCCTTATCTCCATCATTGAGTTTCTCTGTTTTAAAATCTAGCTCATCCCAGCAACAGTAAGGACACTTATACAAGCTTTCAATTATATTAAGAAATAATGAGAGTACCCATAACAAGTGCAGTTGTCACAGATCATATGATTGCTGTAAAACTCTACAAGAAAATATAGTGAACTAATATTTGTATGTAACCGTCATATTTGCTTTATTTTCCATGACAACAGCTATTAAAATCAGCAATAAATCAGCTAAAGGAAGAGGAGAACGTAAAAGACAATACATCCTATTCAAATCACCAATACATAGCATTATATCAATTTTACCATCACTAGGCTGGGAAGATGTAGCTCACATTCTAATGAAAATGGAATTGGCATGATTTTGACTAGATCCAAACTTGCTCTGTACAAAATTTAGCATTAAAATGTCACATCAAGATAGTCCCCAGAAAGCATTTATGATTTCATTTTAGATATCACAAGTCACATTACTGTTATATAATTAACATCATAGATATCAAGTGATGTCATTTGTACGACAAAGGACGAAGAAAGAAGAGGCAGATCTTCCTGATTATTTTCAATAAGCACAAGTATGATATGCTGGATGGCCATGAGAAATTCAATGAAGACAACGGATGCTTGATTCTTATTTAAGTATATAATTTTTTCCAATGACATATTTCATTTATCAGAAAACTCAAAAGAACATGCTGTAACTTTCAATACTAAGGAATCAAAACAATATCACTCACATGAATGACCAGGACAGGACAATTAACTAGTGGGATTTTGTCAATGTTCTGCAAAAGAAAAATAAGAATACCAGTCAGCACTCCACTAAAGAAAATAATCGTCATTCCTCAGAAATGAAATGATCAACATAAGCATGGTAAAACAAAGCAAAACCTTATAGATGTCAAACCAATACGTTCGTTTTACAGGATACATGACCCGTAAGCCAGACAGTATAGGACTATGCAGCACGACAGCTCTCAATCTTGGTAATTGAATTGCTAAATCCAATGTCGGTCCACTCCCAACTGATTGCCCATACAAAACGATGTTATCCTCATTCACTCCATAGGTCTCTTCGAGGCATTTAAATGCAGCCTCAATATCCGCATAAGTATTTTGCTCGCTTGGCTATCAAATGGAAATACTGTAAATGGATCGGCTTTTCTTGAGATAAAAATTTCAAAAGAGGAAGAGATTTGCAATATATTTTTTCAATTTTGAATATGTTTCTGTATAAACTTAGAAGTAGGGTATCTTGTCTTTGCAACAAACCTTCCCTGTGGATTGACCATACCCTGAATAATCATACCTGCATGGTAAGAAGAACAAATGAGTTCTCAAATACTCTTAAGACCAAAAAGAATGAATACAGCATAAGGGTTCAATAAAAACCAAAAATATCAGTAAAGATGGTTCAAATCTAGTTCTAAATTAAGAGATACAAAACTGCCTTCATCTCTGGCAATGTCATGCAATATTGCCAACGATAAAAAAAAATGAGCACATAAAAAGAATGGATCATACACGATCACCAAAAACAGAAATATCATGGAGTATCACAATTTGCATGCCACCCATTTATGTTAAACATGTCTCACAGTCACAAACAATTCCCTACTAAGAAAGGGATGACAACAGATCAGCACCTAACAAAAAGTGCCTAGGAAGATAAATTTGCGAGCAGTGTTACCCTTACACGTGTTGCGTGTTCGCGTGTGTAAACACTTTGAAATGTGTCGAAACCTCGAGACACATGATGTTGTAAAAAAAAACAAAACACTATTGCTCAGGCCTAGCATGTAAAAACAATAACAGACTAACTCAAGACCTCGTCTATAAGAGGCATATGATCTACCTAGTCTCACCATCATCATCTGAACCTTGCTTCTCCAAGCACTAATTTGTGTATTGATTAAGAGTATTTTATTATATATACTTTAAACATATATTAATTTATTTTAAAATAATAAGTGTACGGATATGTATTGCTGTATCTGCTTTTTATGGTGCCCTATCTCGCCATATCAGGAGTTTACGACAAAGTAATAGACAACTTCAACACATGTAGGACACCAACTCTCTATGTTGGTTTCCATGTAATACTGGTTCTGTTATTCAAGGTGACATATTCTCTTCCAAACTTGCCAGCCACAAAATAGACATGGAAGGTACTGTTAAAAAGAAAGAGCAGATGGAACATATGACAAGTTATAAGGTATATTTGTGCACCACGAAGCTTCACAGAAGACCCAGGACTGATACTCAACTTGCCTTGTACTCAACTTGTCTTGTAGGACTGTGATTGCTACCCTACTCTACAAGAAAAGGGCTCCAGCCTTTAACCGGTTGCGTAACCCGGAAGGGAGATAAAAGATGTAAATCTTTTTATTGAAAAATGATTATGTGCTCCAAAGGTGCTATAAATCATGAAGCATAGTCCATTCAGTTTACCTTTATCCATAAGGTTCCATAAATCCAACAGCATAGTTTATTCAGTTACCTTTATCTCGAGGTCAAAGATTCAAGGGAAATTGGACACTAACTATTTTAGAACAATTGAGATTGGGAACTTTACTGAGAAATCAAATCCCAAAAAGAGTCTTACATTGGGTAGAGTGGATGTCTTCAATCTCAGTTCTAGCAGTGTTCGAAAAATCGAACCGGCCTCGGAAACAGGCCAAGAGCCAAGTCCGAGTAACCGGTAAACCGGCCGGTTCAACTGACCTAACCGGGCAGGTTCATCTAAAAAGTGTTAGAAAAAAATAAAAAAAAAAATTCAAAAAAATATGAAAAGGAAATTTAAAGCATGATTAAATAAAGCACATCCAAATAAAGTTGAAAAGTAGTTAAAAAAATCGATTTGTGCCGAGAGGTATTTTCAAAATTTTCTAAAAAAAGATGGGAAAATGTAAAAATAAGTATTCATGGCCAAAACACTTTCCAATCTTTGCCAAAATGATTAATAACATTCAAAAACACATTACAAACAAATCCCTTATTTTTTTGGATTCTATTTTATTTTTTATCTTTTTTTTCATGGCACAATCAAGTGCCCGTTTTATTTTAAAAAACATACTCGGTTTCTTAGAAAACCACCCGGTTTTTTAGAAAACCACCCATTTTTTAAAAAACCACCCGATTTGTTATTACTCAGCTGGTTTGTCCTCAAAACCAACCGGTTGAGTACTAGTCATGTGGGGGGGTTCAATCCCCTAAGTGGACCTCAGAAACTGGGGTTAACTGGGACCGGCAGGTGCCCAGCCCCGATCTAACCGGCTAGCTCCAAGTTGAACCAGCTGATATTTCTAATACCGAGTCCTAGATACAAAAGGAAACAAGTTTAGATGGCTACACCACTCCAACAAGTAAGGGAAGGGGCTTATTTATTTATGGAGAAGACCAGTTTTTCTTCCTCCCCCCTCCCCCCCCTCCCACCCCTCCCCCCCCCCCCCTTGTCAGAGATGTTTTGGTGAGATTTTGTGGATAAACAGGGTCATAAAAGGCTGTCACCCAAGAAAAGTGGAGTGGGCGAATCTGCATAATCCTTCACCTCTAAATGAGTAAAGAGCGAAATAGAACTATTCCCAAAATCTGCTCCATCCAACTTGGAAACAAATCAGTGAAGACCAATGCATCCTTGCCTGTAGCTTCGGCTCAATGAGTTAATGCACCTACGGATTTGCACCTTTTTTAACATACTTTTCTGACATCATGTTTGAAAAGTGCGAAGATTTGTAAAATGCACACCATTCTAGACCATCCCCAGTTAACGATTTTGGCAAGAGTTCGTTGAATAACCCTCAAACTGATGGAAGTCGGAGATGATGCTCTAAGGCAATTAAGGTTATCAACTTTGCCAAAATATTTCATGACGTAGAAAACATACCTGAAAATGCAATGCCATGAAGTACGAGAGAATTCCCCAAAATTGTAACTTAGACTCATTAAGAATGTTTATTAGTCATACTTTATATAAAGAAATTAAAAAAAAAAAAGAGTACAGAAATAGAAAACCATGAAACCAACAAAACATAAACAGTCCATCAAACAGACCAAACAAATGATACGCACAAAATAGCCAATCAGAATGGAGCTCTTCAGCTCAAGTCATGTTCAGGATTCTACATAACAATTTAATAACCAAAATGGTAAGAAAAAAACCCATATTGTCATATACCAAAAAAGAATTCAACCATTACTAGTGCTACTCAAATTAAAACCCATGGTAAAAATAATAGTCGATAAAATATAAATATAACTTAGCCACTTGCAAGTGTACAATCAAACAAATAAATACATAAAGAAAAACAAAACAAGAAATTAAAAATCAAATTGGTAATCAATGTATAAAAAGATTGGTAGGTATGATTAAGTATGCATATCAAGCACATGGAAAAAGGGTGATCAAACCATGTAAGGCATGAAGATTAACACTGTATAACAAATCAAGAGGCAATCGCTGAGCAATGTAACACTATGCAGGTCAATGGTATAGGGTATCAGCTTTGCGCACTAAGCATTCATTTTTAATGGAATTTTGATGAAGCAAGTAGCTGTACAAAAGAGAAAAAGAGAAAATGCAAAACAGATGCCAAGGAAAAATCTCATATACAACAACAGTACTGCTACATAATCTATATACAGTATTAGTAAAATATAGCTCTATCATATACTCACAACCATTAGGGTTGATTTTGAACGCCCAGTCAACTCATAACACAAATTGTTACATAACACACAAATCAAAGATCAAAACCAACAGGAATTGAAATCAAATAAATATAGGCCCCAGCTTTGTCACAAACCTGGGGCTTTGGGTTCACATCCCTGCTTACCCATTAAAAACAAATAGGAAAGCAGTTTCCTTTTGATGAGAATTTATTATTATTATCACTTTCAAATAAATATAAACATAAAGTCGAAGACACACTATCATATAGTTCAAAGCATAAAACCAATATAAATTTCAGACGAAACATATTCAGACACATGCAAACAGGAAATAAATATAATTCAGAACAAGAAACCAGTGTAATTCAAAGCACAAAACAACGTGAACTTTTTTTCCATCTTACAAAGAAAAAGAAGGGAAATTGATTCACCAACCCCATCAAATTCACACGAAGATGAATACTGAGCTCCGAAAAAAGCTCATACATTTGGCCCAAATCAGCTGCGTTTCCATGTGAATACAAAACTGTCAATTTCGCCATGGGGTTCTTAATATACATGGCCACAATCTCACAACCCCTGCTCGTCGAAAGCTTCAATATATCGACATTTTTTCTCAAAGTAACATCAGAAAAACTCAATTTTTGGTTGGCTTCATTCACAATCACTTTATATGATGGTGGGTTTGGAGGAAAGAAGGCGAATTTCGCCGCCATTGAAGACGTCACACCACCCATGGAAACCCAAAGATCAGGGAAATTTGGGATTTTTCCTTCCAGAAAAGGAGGAATTACGAATTTCCTTTAAAATTCAGGAGTTAGAGAGAGAGAATAATCTTCATGAAAGACGTGGAAGAACCCATGGGAACCCTAGGATGAGCAAAACTAGTTGTGTCCTTGTTCGACTAAAGGAAAGTTAGGGTTTTTCTTCTAAATTAAGAGAGAGTGAGTGTTGCAGAGAGAGAAGAGGAGAGAGAGAAAGAAAGAGTTGCAGAGAGAGAGAATTTGAATGAGATGGTGGCACGGGTGGACAAGGAAATTGTTTCGGGACTCCTGTACTTTCCGTTTTGATTTTTTTGTCCTAAATAAATAATTCCAGTAATTACGGCTTGTTTGTGGGGGCCAGGAGCTGTATTTTCATTAAATTATATGGATTTCTTAAGGAAATAAACCAAAAGTGGGCTGCTATTCTTAGAATTTGAAATGGGTGTGGTTTGCTAAGTTGTCATCCTTGAGCGATCCAAGCAAGGTGCACCTGTAAAGCTCCATATAAGAATTTTAACTGTGAATTCAAATTTTACTTCATATCTAATTATAAAAAATAAAAAATAAAAAAAAATATATATATATATATATATATATTTTTATTATTTTATTTTATTTTATTTTTATTTTTTTAATTACAACCTACATTGCCACCCATTGCATTTGTGGGAATTAGTATTTTAAATACCAATGATTTGGATCGGAAATTGTTGGTCTAGAGGATTAATTACGACCAAATCGGCTCTAAAAAGGTATAGTTCCAGCTCCATTCCCACCTTAAACTCCCTTTTATATTCTCTTTCTTATTTTTAAGCTTATCTAAAGTTTTTTTCTTTTTTTTTCTTTTCCTATGTTCTCCAAAATCCCATCAATTCATATCGTCGATCCAGCAATCGATTGTAGATATATTTGATCGATGATCTACCCTAAATATCTAGTTTTGAAACACTGGTGGGAACCATGAGAAAAAGAATCTATCCATTAATTTGTGGGAACAATAAGGAGAATACATCTTCTTAATTTGTGGGAACAATAAGGAGAATACATTTTCTATGCAATTGTCTAATATGGAACTATCTCAAGTATTAGTCTTAAGGAAAATGTATTGATAGGGTTGCAGGCTTAACAAAATAAGCAAAACCTTGCCTCAAAACTTACAAAAAATTGTAGTTTTGGATTAAAAAAACCTTCAAAACGATCATCTTGACCTTAGCTAAAAAAAAAAAGTAGTATAATCCATTTTCAAGCGTTCACATATCCATAAGATTTGTACCAATTTTTTTAGCTATAAATTTCATAATCTGAGGTAGAAATTGATTTTAGATCCATAATAATGATTTCCCCTGCCAAAGTGTTTTCCAGAGGTGAGATCTTACTCTTTTTTTCTGTAAGGTTTTGCAATTCTTAGCTAAAGAGCCCCTAAATCACCTAATTTCCTTGTTTTTCTCTTTTTTCAAATTTTTGGTTTAGAAACATATTTTTATTTTTATTAGGTATGCTCTTACGATAAATGAGCACATCCTAAACTTTCTATTAAAATGATTTATAAATTTTAAAACAATAATAAAATATTTTGAGATGTCTAATGAGACACTTAAAGGGTAACAAATGGTATTAGGACTGAAGTTATCTCAGTCTATTAAGATTGGATGATTGAGAATAGCACCTACATATATATTTCATATAAAAGAGATCACATATACACTTCGTCCTTGCAAATTTGTTCATATTTGATATATAAGAGATGTCACATATACACTTCCCCCTTGAAAATTTGTTTCTAGAGATCCATGTGTGCCATTCGAAGGGGTGAACCCGAAAGATGAGAATGAATTCACATCCTAGACCCTTTGCAAGTTTGAGACGTATAAGTGAATTTGCTATGCATGAATTTCAAAAAATAAAAGAAAAAAGATGTATAAGTGAACTTGTTATGTATGAATTTTCCAAAAATAAAAGAAAAAAAAGGTTCTGTATGAAGAAAATTTTGGCTTTCTAGCTTTTAGCCTTTGGCAAAAACTTGCTATCTCTTAAACAAATTTTTTTAAAAAAATAAATAAAAAATCTAAGAAGCGAATTTTGTCTTTGGGTTTTCAATATTTGGAACTAGAAAAAAAATTATTAAAATAATCAACCCCTCCATAACGTTCTGGGTGTAGTTTGCAACCCTAAATAATCTTAAGGTGCACCTCCAAACTTTGATATGAGATGCAATTTTGGTGTGAGATGCAATTTTGGCGTGAAAACATTTTAGGATAGTGTAAGAATCTATTTTTATCTCTAATTATAAAATTTAAACTAAAAAAATGGTTCAAATCAAGCGGATCTATAAACATATAAAAATCTAAAAAATTGACTATCTAGATAATGTGTTGCAAGACATATTAATTTTAGAACTTGAAATCTCCCTTTTTTTATATATTTAGACAATTCGATATCGAGATCATCAATTAGTTGTATTTTCAACATCAAAATAACATATTTTCGAAGGATTTTGGAGGTGCACCTTAATTCTACAATTAAGGTGCCAACCATATATAAACTTTTTCCTCACTTTTTTGAGGTGGTTTGTCAATAAAGTAGGTCGTTAAAAGTATTATCTCACTAAAGCACTTTTAAAATTATGGATTGGTGGGGTGGATCGTTCACCTACAAATCCATGTGGGATCGTTGGATTGGTAATTTAGATTGGATTTAAATTCTTTCGAATTGGTGATAAAAAATATTTAAAAATAAATGAAAAAAATTAAAAATTAAAATAAGAGTTTGTGGAGTAGGGACCTAAACGTAAAAGAACATTGGATAAGCTTAAAAAGAAAGAAAAACGAATATATAACAGGGGGTCTTGAACAGGTTCGATCCCGACCGACTCCCATCCAAATCAGCAATTCAAATAAAAAATCATCGGGTTTTAAAGCACTGCTTCAGACCATGAAGGTCCAAAGTGAAAGCATTTTGAAAAATAGAAAAAAGAGAAATGATCGTAGAATAAAAAAATTTTGAGAACTTTTATAATGATGTTATATGGAGGACATAATAATAACTTTAAAAATAAAGGAACATCTTGGTTACTCTTTTAAAAAAAAAAAATAAGAACACTTTTGAGATTTTAAAAAGTTCAACAAAAGGTGAATGTTAAACCTATATTGTCTCCCACTAAAAAGTCAACCCCTGACTGCAAAATAAAGAAATGAGTGACCCTTTGCATCATATCATACGATAAGATGAAGCTTGGTTTTGCATATTCCCAGCTAGCTGTGTATCACATGCAATCCTTTTTTTTCAACTTCATGGTGCATGAATATCCATTTAGAAAATCTTCTTTTTCTTTAATGTTATGTAAAATCTAGCTCTCTCCATCTCCTTATATTTACATTTTCCTTGTTTTTCATTCATTTAAAAAAAAAATTACTTGTTTTTCTTCCTCTCCTCTCCTCCTTTTTACGTTGATGATAGTTTTTAGGTGCGTCCTAGGATGCACGAATGCACCAACGCAATAGGGCTGAGAATTTGTCGGATTAGGTCTTGATCCACCTAGATTTGGATCCGAATTCAAAAAGTATACCTAGGATTTGGATCCAGGTCCAATCGGATCCATAATGTTCGGATCCGGATCCGGATCTAAAACCTATACATGAGATCCAAATCCCATATGGATCCAAAAAGCATGTGAGATTTGGATTAGGTTTTCTAAAAGTTTAATAAATTATATATATTATATCTATATAAATTATAAATTAAGAAATATATAGCTATTTATATATAAGACAATAGATATTATTTAAAAATCAGGTTGGATCCAGATTAGATCCATCTGCACCCAGATTCGATCCAAATTACTATTCCGATCTAAATTTTGGATTTGAAATTTAGGTTTCAATCCATATCGAAGAAATTCTCAGCCCTACATCATGAAATCCATCTCCAAGATAGATGTTGGATCTAAACTTTTGCAGGTTATCATCTAACACCATTGCATTCATGAATATGAAGAAAAAGAAAGAAGAGAGCCTTAAAAATATTATGTTTTATTTTATTTTTGGATGATTCATTTTAATTCTTCGGATGTCATTAGCTTTGACCTATTTTAAGAGTTCCAAATTCGTTGTAGACTCACCAAATACTTTTCCTTAGACCTAGTCTCTAAAAATTAGACGAATGAGTGGCTAAGGTCGTTCGATTGATTCAGACCATTACTAGTATGCATCCGCTTAGGTGAACCTTTCATTGTCTCACGGTGGTACAAAAAAGGAAAAAAATTTAATACAATTTTAATTTTTCATATTATTTAAAGGTAGATTCTCTTTCCGTTTTTTTTTCAAGCAGTATAAAAAAATCTTTAAGGATTTTACCATACTCTTCATCTCTTATCTCCGTCTTTTATTGATTTTTTACCATAAAAATTAGCCACAATAAATCTTTTTATATCATTTTATCCCAAAAACTGTTTTAACCCTTTTTTTCCTTTTCCAACTCATTAAAAACATTTTTGGGTTGAAATGATATAAAAAAATTTGTTGGGGCTAATTTTTATAATCAAAAGTTAATAAAAGAGTGAGATAAGAGATGTGGGGGTCTGGTGAAATCTTTAGGAGTTTTCTTATGCCGTTTGAAAAAAAATTAGAATGAGGGTCTATCATTAAATAATTCAAAAAATTAGAGTTCTACACGAAATTTTCTCCATAAAAAACAATAGAACTTAGACATGTACACCAGGGCACTAATGTTGAGGTTTGTATATTCATATTGATTGATGGACACTGAGTACCTTCAAATAAACCTAAAATTCTTCACAATATACTCTATTAAAAAAGTGATAACAAATACACTTTAACATAAACATCTTTTGAAGTCTTCTGGTTCAAAAAATCAGTAATTTATGAAAATAAGTTTTGTACATCACCTTGACATGATCAATGACATAAGTGTTAACAATGAAAGAAAGTGATCGTTTTAATGTCACCTTGACAAGATCAATGACATAAGTGTTAACAATGAAAGAAAGTGATCGTTTTAATGCCACCTTGATGGACGGTTGAGGTACTCGTTGCAACAAACAAATCCAATATATAACGGTACTCCTCATCGGTCCATTGTTGACATTAGAACATCAAAATCCAAAGCTTTTTTTTTTTTTTTTGGAAAATGTATACAAGGGTACCGTTTGCTTTTAATATAAGGCGGATTGATCGTTGGGTATAAAATTGGGTGGTTGGAGATGTGTTATCAATTAAGAATAAAGTTACAAAATAAAATTTTTTCATCCATTAGATTCACATTTAATGGTTAAAAATAATTGTGAC